GGGGGCCCTGCGGCGGGCGGCGGGTGCGCTCCCGTAGCGGGGCCGAAAGGTGCCCACGCATCGGTGTCTGGGCGTTCTGCCGTGGAAGGGTTACCCGAGCGGTTGACCCGTTGGGTAAACGGCGCGCTGGGGGAGGTGGGGAGGGCGGGCGGGCGGGCGGCGCCGCCGCGGCGGTCAGCCCCGCTGCCGCTTCCCCTCGCCGCGGTCCGGGTCCGGGTCTGGGCCGTGGCGGCGGGGACTCGGCTGCCGGCCTCGGTTACCCGCGGGGCTGGAACGGGAGGTAGCGGAAACCCGCAAAAGCGCCGGCTTTATTCATACCGCTGCCGGCCGGCGTGAGGGCAGAGCCTGACCTGAGGGTTTTAACCCGCGACTTTACAGCCGTGTGTCTTCCTACTAGTGCACCTTGTGTCCGCTTAGCTACGTGATGGTATGGGAAGGGGCACTACGGCCTCTTCCAGCCCTTCGCGCCTTGCACTGTGTTACAGCGTGCCAATGAGAAAAACGAGAGGAGGGATAACTTTGGTTTCAGCTGTCAGGAAAAAGAGAAACAAAAAAATACAGGGGAAAAGTAGGGCTTCTGTCTTTACAGTTACACTCCCGATCGGTCAACAATGAACACAGTACGTGTCTTCATTGGTTGAAAAGTATTTGGACCGTACGTCACGCTCAATCGCTTTACCGGCTTTTAGGCTACTAATGCAACATGTGAGGTACCAAACAGTGGTATTTAATAGTTTTTTGTCCTGCTCAGGTAGAAATATCCAGAACATTAACAAAAAAGGCAGTTAAGAGTGATTATAAGCATTTCTGATAAATTTACTGCAGTGTCGATATTGAATCCTGTAATTAAAAATCATATGCAATACAGTCCAATAGTGGATCTGGCCCTATATCACTTGCTTCTTTTATTGTGGATACTTGTATTTGCCCCAGAAATTCATCTTATGAAATCAACTCTTAAGTATTGCTTGGTTTCCTTTAAACATGCCTTGTACCTGTGACTTGTCCATGATCTGATAGCAGGGATGGATATCCAATGGCCTCCGCTAGAGCAGGAATCATTTTGCTATTTCTGTCACATTTATCTGTTCAGCGCTTTGTTGGATTGCTTGGAGCCTCCCATTAGAGAGATGAAGATACCATAATGAATTAAGGGCTTGGGTTGGGGTTTTTTTGATGGTGCATTGAAATACAGAAAACATTGATTCAGTCTGCCTCCAGAGGCAATTTTCTGAGCAGTAACTGCACCAATAGTACGTAAGAATGAATCGGTAATTCAGGATTAGACTGCTTCACCTGGTTTGTAATCAGACTGTACCTCCATCTTGTGCCAAAAAATGAATGGCTTGTTCTGTTCTGGTCAGGGAGTGGCGGCTGATGGGGTGAACTAACAGCTTGTCTATCTCTGCAAGTCTTCTACAAATAGAGGTTACTGACAGTTTTTGCATTATTGCTTCTTGTAGGCCTCCCCCAGAAGCACCAAATAGCAGCTCATGCTACTCAAGTTTGTAATAGTTTGGGACTCCTACTTACGAATTGCTGTGCTTAAAACCATTTTATAATGGCCTCTCAGTTGTGAGCTAGCACGAGTTTAAAGCAGTGCCTACAAGCAGTAAATTGGGTATTCCTAAGTTGTTGCAATCTTATGATGACTTTCAATTGGCTTCATCCTTTATGCCTGTATGTTACTGTCTTGAGGCCTGATGTTTCAACTTACAGGCATGCCTTAAAACTGGCCTACTGCCTAAAGTTATCTTTGGACAGCAGTCCCCAGCCAGAAGTTGTGGCAGAGGCTGTCAGAGGCTGAATAAATCATTGTACTTTGTAAGCTAGAGGCCATTCTCAATAATATAAACAGTGAGCACTTTTCTCAGGGAAAATCATGCAGGATGAGCAGTCACAGAAGTAACTGTGGATAAAGAATTGTGGATAATTCCTAAAGTGCTGTGTTTGGAGCAGGACAAACCCTCTCTGTTTACCTAAAGGCATTTTCTTGGTCTTGTTTAAACTACTGATCAGATACTGCTCCATGTAAACATGTTCTGCTAAAATATTGGAGAATATTTTGAATTCTCTTTCTCTCTTCTCCCAGCCCCATCCCTTTTGAAAACCCGTTTCCTCTCATGATCTTCTGGGGACTTACTCTGATCTCATCCAGTGTGACAGTAGCTGGAGTTCTGATGTGCCAATTCCTGCAAATTCTTATGCAAACCAAAAAGAAGTGTATTATTTTTTTCATTTGGCATTTTTCTACTCATATTCCTGCTTACTGGTGTTCCTGAAATTATAATACATCTGGACCCATAATTTAAATGGGACAGAACAAATCAGACTTCAAGATAATTGAAAAAACAGAAAGCATTTAGTTTTAGCCTAAGCAATTACATTTTAATTTTTTTTTCAATTTAAGGTTTAATAAGGTAATTCGAAGCATAGGTTTCTTGCAGGGTGTTCCACAGAAAGAATTCTTGGTTTGTTAGGGTGATACTTATATAACCTCTTACTGGAAGTCACCATTCTTGGTTGCTGCATGTACTGGTGCTTTTTTTCTTTTCCTCCCTTTCCTCCAAAATAGGTGCATCATAGATTAAGAAAAAAAACTTAAGTTGCCAGGTACATATATCCATAGAATCTCTCTTTCTCTTCTTCCAATGGTTTATATGCTTTGCTATGATGCCTGCACAGTCAACTGGTTCATCTATCCATGTCTCTTTTCAGCTTGTGTACTTACTCTGCACAAAGGCTTGTTGTTGTTCTTAGGTTTTTGTCAGTAAGTTCAGCTGCTTTTGCTATGCTAGAAAATTTGTAGGGTTACATTGGTCTGATGTGGCTTTGGTCTCTTTTTTGCGGGAGTAGAAATAGAAAGAAAAATGGTGATGAAGTTGGTCAAAAGTATGGAGTGGCTTCTGTATGAGTTATGAAATTGTAGTAGATTCAAGAACAGCATACAGATGGGTTTATTTCTTTTTACCCAGTGTATAATTAAACTTTGGGTTTTGTGAATTTTTGCCGCGTACAACTTTGTGACTCAAGATCAGAAGGCAGTTGGAGAAGTTTTATGATTATCATGGATGGCTTTTCATTTCATAGGAAAAATATGCTGTATAGCACTGAAGTTGACACTAACTTTTTGTGGGAACAGGAACAACGAAGTATCACCGTCATGCCGCTTAATTGTCATTGCCATTGTCAGAGGTGGGATGCTGATTCAGGTGGATCTGTGGTCTAGTCCAGAACAGCTATTTTTATGTTCCTCCTTGCTAAGCGGAAGTCAATCACAGGCTGTCTGGGTAAGCTGGCTGACAATGATACACTTCTCAGCTCTGTAATGTTAACTGTTGGTCCCCTCCACTTCAAGAAACCAAGCAATATCCTACAAACTTCCTTTTAATCAACTTAGCAGTTGCATTATTTCATACATTCCTGGCAAAAGTATTTGACTTTTCTGTCCCTTCCTTCCCTATCCCCTGAAGACACCAAGATTGAGAGAGAAGAGGAACTAAATAGTTAGCACTGTATATCAATGGTGAGGAGGGTCTATGTTGTTCTGTGATAGCTAGCAGCAAGGACACCTTGTTAAAAACTCAGTTCGATGCCTCTGTCTTCTAGGATCTTGAAGGCAGGTACGGCCCTGAAGAGGTGCTGCTTGCAAACAACCATTTTGCAGAGCCAGAAGATGAAGGAGGAAAGGGGGTCTGTCTTCAAGTTTGGAAAATGCAAACTGCGGGTCCACCACCCCTGTACAATGACAGTATCACACCCTGGCTGCAGATTAAGGCTGGTTTCTGCAGCAGTCTTTCAGGGTGAAGAGTTGCAGTGTTTTCCTCATGAGGATCATGGTTAGGACTCCAGCAGGGCTTATGAGGTTATAAAAGGTGTATAGTATTAATTATGAATCCACAGCCTGGGAAGACAAATGGACATTTAAAGATGTCTGAGGACTGGGATAAAAACTGAAGCAACTGCTTACAGAGCCACCATAGGGGAATACACTGCTCACATTCTTGTTGCCACACAGGGGTGTGTTGTCTGGCAAGCCCCCCGAAGCATGACTGTGCGCTGCCTCTGGCTCAGAGCACTGGCTACAGTTGCCTCTTTCATCACAGTTTGTTGTCCTGGGTTTTGCAAACCGACTGCTGACACTCTCACCTACTCTGTGCTGGGAGAAGTTATTTCAGTTGTTTGCACATAAGCAGCTTTCGGGTTCTGTTTATTTTAGTCAAGACATGCTGCTGCAGTGATGGTTAGCATTGTAACATAGGTGCTCCAAATGGGGATTGGAGTTGCAATGCTGCTTTCAAAAGTTTCCCTTCACCTTATGTGCCAATTCCTGACATTTGCATCCAAGCACCCTGTTCCATCTCTTCTTCCACGTACAACTTCTGCCCAGGTACTTATTGAATCTCTGCTGTGATAGTCCCTTGTATTGAAAGCTTCTGTCATAAGAGATGTCTCCTGTGCTGTGACAGTGAAACATATGTGAAGGTATTGCTGTTTACTAGCATTCTATTTATGTACCTTAGCCCATAGTATGTGTGTATTATATATACATACTACACACAAACACTATATATATACACAGCAAATATAGTACATTAGGTTTTATATATGCATGTATACACATACACTTATGTATAGTACTGTACTACCGTGTATATAGTATGTACTACATCTAGTACTACATGTGTGTATAGTATATATGAACATATATAAAAACTAATATACTATATTTTTACTGCATTTCCTATGATCAGCTACTTAACTGTTCTCCCAGTCCGTATTTTGTCTTGTGGGCAACGTTTGTGGGTGTAGTTATGTAAATGAGAATAATTGTTTAATAAAAGCAGGTTGAGTCTACGTGCTCTGAAAGATCTAGCAGCATCTTCTGGTTCTAGTCCTAGAAGTTTCTTGGCTGTAACAACACTGGTCTACCATGTATCTAGCTAACCCTTATCTTCAGGCTTTGTTTTAACAAAAGGTCTTTCCTTTCAGCAAAGGTGAGCAAGGGTTAACATCCTAAAAATGGAGATAGATAAACAACAGGTTTCCTCTGTTGGGTTAGGGGTTTTTTTCCCTGCATCTTTTTGGCTTTTCTGGGTGTTTTTGTGGAGTTGAAGCTGTACCCTGCAACCATGTAACTGACTGTCAGTGTCAAACTTCCACTGCTAAACACAGATAGGCGTGTGAAGTCCTTGACTAATTTTGGGGGATGCATCCATCTCCCCTATTTACAGAAACACCTGTCTGGCAGGGGAGCTTTTAGAAGGCTGCTTGGATTGAAGGTACCCCTGGGCAGCATGAGTGAAGTGTGGAGGGAAAGGGTAGCTCTGCCCCATGGGAGCTGACACTTGGTGCTTTGCCAGAACCTGCTCTGCCAGGTTTTGTGCCTGACTCAGCAATGCTGGAAATGGCAGCAAGCAGCAGAGAGCCTGTGAGCATCAGATTGTGTTATCTATCTCCTGCAGTTGCCTTATCTGCCTGTATTGGGTTTGTGTGGCAAGATTTTGGTAGCATGGGAGGTTACAGGGGTGTCTTCTCTGAGAAACTGCTGGAAGCTTCCCCTATGTCCAACAGAGCCAAAACCGGCCGGCTCTAAGACGGATCTGCTGCCAGCCAAGGCTGAGCCAATCAATCAGTGATAGTGGCAGCGCCTCTGGGATAACATATTTAAGAAGGAAAAAAGTTGCAGGGCACACAGAAACAGCAGCTGGAAAGAGGAGTGAGAACATGTAAGAGAAACAACCCTGCAGACACCCAGGTCAGTGAAGGAGGGGGAGAAGATGCTCCGGGCACCAGAGCAGAGATTCATTCCCTTGCAGCCCTGGTGAAGACCATGGTGAGGCAGGCTGTCCCCCTGCAGACCATGGATGTCCACAGTGGAGCAGATATCCACCTGCAGCCTGTGGAGGACCCCATGCTGGAGCAGGTGGGTGCCCAAAGGAGGCTGTGACCCTGCGGGAAGCCTGCACTGGAGCAGGCTCCTGGCAGGACCTGTGGAGAGAGGAGCCCACGGAGCAGGTTTTCTGGCAGGACTTGTGACCCCACGGGGGACCCATGCTGGAACACTGTGCTCCTGAAGGACTGCATGCTGTGGAAGGGACCCACACTGGAGTAGTTCATGGAGGACTGTCTCCTGTGGGAGGGACCCCACACTAGAGCAGGGGAAGAGTGTGATGAGTCCTGCCCCTGAAGAGGATGAAGCAGCAGAGGTAACGTGATGAACTGACCGTAAACACTGTCCCCCTGCGTTGCTGGGGGTGGTAGGTAGAGAATCCAGGAGTGAGGTTGTGCCCAGGAAGAAGGGAGGGGTGGAGGGAAGGCATTTTGAGATTTAGTTTTATTTCTCATTACCTTACTCTGGCTGGTTGGTAATAAATTGAATTAATTTTCCCCAAGTTGAGTCTGTTTTGCCCATGATGGTAATTGGCAAGTGATCTCTCCTGTCCTTATCTTGGACCCATGAACCCTTTGTTATATTTTCTCTCCCCTGTCCAGCTGAGGGGGGAGGGGGGGTGCGAAGTGACAGAATGGCTTTGGTGGGCATCTGGTGTACAGCCATGGTCAACCCACTACACTGCCCCGTTGCAGGGGGGAGGGCAGTGAGAGTTATGGCAATATTGAAAATGAGACAATTTGTTAAAGCTTGCAACTTTCAGCTTACTCTTCCAGTGAACTTGGCTAAGTTCAACTCCATTAATTATGATAAGAAATCACTATTAACAAAACAATGTTTAATTAAAAAAAAATTTATTTCACACTTCTATACAAATATCCACAGGTAATTTCTAATCATGGAATGATGTAGCATTGCTATCTGGTATAAAAAAAGTTTTGAGATAGAAGTATACCAGTGACATGACTTACTTTTCAAGAACTTTCAGTTTAACACTGCTAAGACATTCATGTTCTTAGGTGAGGGCCACAATCTGCTTTTAAATCTAAGGCTATTTGTCATGCTTCTTAGCCCCTGATTAGCCTGGCTTCTGATGCTACTGAGCCTTTCAGCAAATAAGCTAGAATTTTAAAAGCTCAAAAACTGGGTAACAGCTAAATACATGTGTAAGTGTTCATAAAATCAGGGTCACAGCATACTGAGATTATTTAGTGGGAGAAAGAAGAGTCTATTATTAAATCAATGCACTTCCTATAATGATGACTTTTTAGGTGACAGCACCTTCCAAGAAGGCACGTTCAAAGTTAGTAGTAAAAATAAGACACTTGACAACTGCCCTCCTAGCAGGTTTTTACCCTATGAGGGGAAAAAGTACCAAGAGGTTTTTGCATAGTTCAAATTACTAGCAATTAACGTGCATACTTTTTGAGCAGAATTTTGTTTCACATGGAATAAGCAATTGTGAACTAAATCTTCATTCTTAAATAGTACCAAAGCTTTAGAACATGGGTAAAAAAGTAAATTCTTTAAATAGTTATATCAGTTATGTTACAATAACTAGATTACTGATAAACACAACATTGTGGTTCTACTTTTATCAACATTCAGGTATTCAAGACGATTCAGTAGTCTCAACATGGATCAGCTCAGATCCCCATACTTAAGGTAAGTTAGGCATTTATAGCCTCCTTCAAGTGCTCTGTAACAGTTGCAGTAGTCAATGCCTTTTGCCAAACAGGAAGTCCTTATGAAGCTGGAAAGCTGTTTCCAGAGAACCTCTCACTTTCTTGCAGTAAGTATAAAACTGTATCTAAAAACCCTATTTCTGCTTGGTGTCCAAATCATTAAATGGTCTGAAGTAATACATAAATCATGTTACAAGACCTGATAATTCCTATTACATAAAGTTACAAGTATCAGGAAAAAAAAGCCCCCATACACATCACTGGAATAAATATTTACATTTTTAGAAAGCATTGGCACCTTCAGTGACTTATTAAAATGCAGTTAAAGCCTCAAGTCTCATAATCTGAAGTTCAAAAACACAGTGGAGTTGAAAGTTCACTTAAGTCTTTGTCCTAACAGTTAGTCAAAGACAATGATTTCTAACAAAAATAAATACAAAAACAACTAAAATATATATATATACAAAAAGTACATCTACTATTCAAGCCTCTCTTTTAAAAAAAACTGTGTATATTTGTTGTGAATAAGAATCACAGAATCTGATCTTAAAAAAAAAAAAGAAAAATCAAGCAACATGACCTATTGCACATGTAATTTAAGATGATGCTTTTTGTTAAGCCCTAACTACTGCAGCAGGCAAAGTTTATGTCTAAAGCAGATTTGCAGGTCTTCAGATTATACTTGAACAAAGTGTGTTAAGGCCACTGTGTGTTGAGGGAAGGATGGAGAACCTGTCTTGACCTTAACCATGCATTCCTTGCATACCTCAGAATAAGGTTAGGATCACAGGAAAAGGTCTGCTGGTAGTGGTTTTGCATATTTTGCAGAAAAGACCCTAAATCAACACAGCATTGTCTAAAGTGTGAGTTAGATTTGAAGGGGGAAAGAGGCAGTCTGGAAATTAAATAATGCAAATAAAGTCTGTTGAAGCAATTTTAACTGTGCAAACAAAAGCCTCAATATAAGTAGTAATATCTACAATCAAATGGTGAATGTCCATAGTGTTCATAGGTCTAATTCTGTCAGTATTCCATTAATGAAAACCTTAACTTCTATCTGAACTTTGTGGATGAAAAGAATCTTTCCCTAAGAGTAACTTTCATTTTCATTCCATTTTGTGAACCATTGTTTTGTCTCAAGGTCTTTACATTTCCTGTCCTTGATCTGTCGCTCTTCTTTTCGAATTCTTACAGCATGATATCGGGGGACACTGTCTTCGTACCTAGAACGCTGGAAGAACCCGCACTGGGGCAGAGAAGAAAAAGAACAGTTTAGGTTTGAATTGCTGCCAAAGCACTACAATTATAGAGGCAGTAAATTCTTCCTTTGCACAGATACACAGGTAAGAAAATTGAAAACAAACATATGTAGGCCAAAAATGTAGTGTACTTAGCTGTAAAAATGTGAGCCAGCAGGTCTACATTAGTTGTTCCAGCACCAGTTGAAGACAAATGGCAGTCTGACAATCTGGTGGTAATCTAATACCTTAAAAATATTCCCTCCCTCCACTAACTTTCTAAATTTGTTTTACAATTCTTAAGTCATCTTATAAAGCTATTCATTCATATAATGAGAGAATTTAATGCTACACAAAGAAGTAGATAAAGTTCAGGAAAGCTTGCTTCTGTGTCAAAGGTAGGTATGTACTTCAGTATCTTTCTGTATGGTGACATGATTTACCTTTAAAAACCTACAGAAAGATTTCCAGGACCTTCAAGAAAAGTTACAGTAGGGCCTTGTTTTCCCAAGCACCACATCTCAACTGTAGTCACCTGAACTAACACACACATATGCAGCATTAGAACATGAGACTTGCTTAGTTTGCCATGGGATAAATAAAACAGACATTAACTTGCGAGTTTTGTAATGTGCCACGACAAGTCTCCCTAGATGAAATCTAGTACAGCTTATTTGTGCCCTGCAATTTTTTTTATTCAAAGCCACTGTAAAAACAGATTTTAAATATTGAAAATTAATTTCAGTCCATTCCTCAAAACAAAATGTAGTTATGGCCACAGCATTACAACGATGATGATTGGTAGACACTCAACTTTACATGCTTATGGGTCACTGATGTCAAGATTAAGGTTAAGAGACATTGTGCCATCCAGCTCTCATTAGATACTACTAGAAAAAAAAAGATTAAAGGGGCAAGATTTTGTTCATAGTATTTGAGGTGGTGAGTTTTTTGTTGTTGGTTGGTTGGTTGGTTTTTAAATAATAAAACTTACATGGAACTCAATTTTTAAAAAATTGCATTGAGGCATAGACCAAATCTTTAGCCATCTCTTAGTTTTTCATTAAGCACCGTTCTGATGTATTTTAGTTAAGAATTCCTCCCCACCCCCTCATCCCAAGCATCACTTAATATAATGTACATGCATGTAACATCTTAAGTTGAGTAAAGGTTGCTAGAAGCATCGTGCATCTAGTAGCTTCAGCAGAGGAAAGTACATTCCTAGAAAAGTATACCTTAGAATTGAAGGAAAACAGATGGTTCCACAGCAAATTAAATTCTCATTATGAAAACCCCTTTCATTATAAGCAACATGTACCTTTTAGCATGCACAGAAGGTTAGTAAAGCAAGTTTATCTATTGTCCACATAGTCTTAGCTTTAAATCTCAACTCTGCAGTGTTGGATTACCATCTCTCAAGCTTAAAAACTTACTTGTACTGTTAAAACATAAATTAAAAAAAAAAAGACTAAAAACCATTGCCATGGATCAACATTTTCTAGAGAAATAAACAAGCTTTTTAGACCAAGATAAACACTTGTTTGTTCACGTGCACCAAAAGCTGAAAATCTATTGACAGAATGAGCAAGCAAGTACAATAGTTTGAAATCCAAAAGTTAATAGAACATATGCAGTAAAAGCTTCATAGTTAGCCACCGCAACCATAGCAAGTGCCACAGCTAAAAATTAAAAAATATCATCAATTACCAATTACAGAAGTAGATCAATACTATGCATCAGAAGTAAGCCTTTCTTTATCAGATGGCTGAGCATGGATCTCAGCCTTGTGATATGTGGCATCGTAATGATCTTTCTTATTTCTCTTGAAGAAACCACACTACAAGGAAGCAAGGTATTTAGTCAATTTTTGTGGACTGCAAGAAGTCAAACCTATTAAAACTGACTTAAATTAACTCTGTGAACTATGTTCCTATTATCCCTTCACAGGCAGAAAAAAAAATGTAACAAGAACTTAGCCATTTCTAGATCTGAGAACTTGGACTAACTTGATGTGTAAAATAACAGAATAACCTGAAGTATTTTAGAGGCATTTTGTTAAATTTGTAGTGCATCTGTTGGTTTTGTTTTTTTTTAAGAAAAACTACTATAAAATATGTCCATAGCAACTAAAGCTGGCTGTGAAGAGCCAAAACAAGTCTATACAGAAACCTGTTAGTGAACTACTGCACAGGAGACACAAAAACAGAGGGTAGAACAAAGATGAGTACTGCTTTGACCTGTACAACACAAGCATTTGTCTTAAACCAATCACGTAACTGTCGTTGAAGTACCATATTTGTCCTTCATAAGTTGGCACAGTGTCATCAAAAGAAGCACTGTACACTGTGGGTGTGCCTGTGAAAAATGTGTTTTCATGTGCAGTAAACCACTAGTAGTTATAACCTAACAGCCCACCCAAAGTATTAATTCATCAGGAAGATTTGCAGCAGGAGCTGGGCATTTATTAGAAAATACGGAAGTCAGAACTATCCTGTGAGAAGTAACCTGCAGCAAATAGTAGGTCCTCAGCAAAGCTAACTGGTGCAGCTTCTCCAGAAGAAGGCAAGTGACAGGATATTCTTCTTCCCCTCTTTCTTAATGACCTTCAGCTATCCCATAACAGCAAATACTAACTGCCTATGCCTGTAAAAACTAAGAGTAAAAAGACTGCCCTGTTATACTTGGAACCACAGTTAGTTGTAAAAATGCCAAAGGTAGTTAGAAAAATAGGTACTTTATTTTTTCTTTTGCAAACTGTTAACCTTTTGTTATGCACACTCATTTCCTCCTTCAGGGTTTCTAAGATAAAAGGCCAGTACTACAGACATTCACCAGCACACTTGGCTTTGTATTATTTCTGTACCTTTTGGTTATTTTCATCTACCATCAGCTGAACGGCATTTCTAGTGTTATGATAACAAAGCCCTGCTAAAACATTTGTACATGGTTCACATGAAGTTTTACACCTAACTGCAGAAGCCCCAATTAGCTGTATCCATCCATATCAAAGTAACTATGGTCTCTGAACATTTGTCTCAAGTTTTGCCCAGACCTCAAAATACTCCCTTTTGAGGATGTGCAAACAGAAAAATGTCATAACAAGTCTTCCCATGTAACCATTTTAATTCCAAATGTTGCAAAACTGAAAAATGGATAAAGGTAATCTATGGTTTGGGCAGTTTTGCTCTGTTTTGAGTCCCAAATACAAACCAAAATACTTAATCGTTTGCCGTCTCATCAGCTGTAGACCAGGAAATATAAAATAACCAGATGAATAAAACCTCACCTTCCATAGTAAGAATACCAACAGTGCAAGCATCAGTATTCCAGCAAAAATGGCCACAGAGATGATCCACCAAGGTACTCCTGTATAAAGTGCTACTGGTTTTGCAGGAAAGACAGTAACACGCACCTAAAGGAGAGAAAATATGTGAAGATGGAAAGAACATTTGAGAAGCATCCATGTTGAATATAAAGCTGCAATTTATACAGTCTTAGCTCTTCTGTAACAAGAAGTCTTCTCTCTCTCATCTACAAAATGTTTTTGAAGAAAAAGTTCCTACTGGTATCATTTCAATATGCTAGTGAATTTTTCTGACCTGGTTAAAAGGTTAAAATGATAAATAATTCAAAATTAAGTTAAAGAGCTAAACTTTTAGCTACTTTTTTTTTTAAATGGTTTGGGTTTTTTCCCCAGTCTTTGAGATAAGCTGGAAACATGGCAACCGTAACACATGGTTAGCATTACATGTTGAACCTACCTGAGCAACTTCATTTGTGAGTTTAACATTCTTAGCTGCAGCAGGAACACTGATCGAAGCCCTAACAAGAATGTCCAGGTAGTTCATTTTGGAGTATTCCTGTTCCAAAATAAAATACAGACATTAGACACAGAACAGGAAAGAACTCTGACCTTCCAAAAATGGCAGGGAAGAGGACTTACTTCTAAGAAAGTACTGTTCCACAATCTGGAACGCAGCACAATAGATGCCTTGCTGTCTAAACCCTTCAGGGGACATTTTATGTCCACACAGCGTGCATTCACATTGCAGTCCTACAATTAAAAATTTCTACATGTAAATAAAAACACATCCTCACAAATTGTTTAACACACACCCCGATTAAAAATTGGATTATATTAATTACGTGCAAGAACCAAAATCTGTACTGACAGCAATAGGAAAATACAATGAAGATGCTATTGCCTGTTTATTTTAATGTAGATAACTATGCAGAAATTCTTTCCTATTTCTCTCTCATCAGTAGGATAACCTAAACGGTCAAATTTTCAAAGCATCGATACTTGGATTTAAGATAAAAACAAAGCAAAGAGATAACCTTCTTTTACCCTGCAAAACTCAGAAAAGCCCTCTTATGAGTGCAGGGGGAGGTATCTGACAAGACTGTAGTTGGTGCAAAATGCTTACCAAGGTCTTGTATTTTCTTTCTGAGAAAAAAGAAAATGTTTTGCTGTCTGTAATCTGCTTCTCTGCAACCTCACGTTTCCTTCTTGAGTCATGGGATTCCTAAAAGAAAGGGGGGGGGGAGGACATAGGAGTTTTAGTAGTTTATCATAACTATATCTTAATTCTCCTAATTCTGACCCCATACAAGCAAAGAAACGAGTTCAGTGTTTTCTTATTTCAAGATCAGCACATGAGTGACATCATTATACATCCCTACTTACCTATATGTATTGCTAATAGTAGAGTCAGGACAATTACTAGAATTTGAGATTACCTAAAGAAACGTCAGCTGACTACTTTAATAGGTCAAGGGAGTTTTAGATTTATAAAGCTTTCAATGCTATTTCCATTTTTGTTCTACATAAAGGCTATCAATGTTACTATGCTAAAAGAGTAAGATTGTGCTAAGGTCAGTAGATGAATTTTTTTTAACTGTATACTAATTACCCTCACTGAAAGTTTTACTAACTAATGTCGTCATCTGACAAGAATGGGTTTACGTGCATGCACTTTTAATAGTGAAAATTAAAACTCCCAAATGATCTTAAGATATAAAAAAATATAATGAAAATGAAGGCTCAGGGTTTAGGAAAAAACCTTGCTAGATAGGCACAATGAAGGGCTGTGAAACTTGCTTGAGAAATTCTATTTATCATATTTGTTGTAAATAAGTAAATTTAAGTGCAAGCCCTCTCTCTTTAAGAAAGTACATGGATTCCCCCAGGATGGGGAGATGTTTCCTGTTTATTGTTTTCTGTGTAAGAATTTTACCAGATTTCAAGAATGCTGATGAAATTTGTTAAAGCAATCAGCAATTTCACCCTATAAGAGCATATGACAGCAGTCCCCATTGCAAAAACAGTCACCATGACATAGCAGCTATCCTTCAGCATATTATCCTCATTAGTTGTTATGAAGTCTCCTAATAAGCCTAACCCTTTATACATTGTTCATGTATTGTGCTTGTGACCTGCTTAAGACAAAAAAAAAAAGTCCTTCTGAAGGCAAGCTCTTATGCCCTACTATCACATGCCGTGGTGCTTTCATGTTGTACTAATTCCTTAACAGAAGGCAGGGTAACATACCGCAACATGCAAACTATTGATTTCATTCTCAGGTTGACAGGAGACTTTTTCCAAGCCTTTGGAATCTATTTTCATCAAATAAAGCAGCCACTTGCCATTACTAATTTCTTTTGGCCACTGGATGTCCAGGGAAGCAGTACCAAATGTTTTCAGTGGTCTGCCCAAGTTAGTTACCTGTTAAAACAAATATTATTTAAACTGTGAAATACTTCTGAAAGGGATTTTCTTCTCTATCGAAAGTGTTATTGACTTGAGCAAGTCCTAAGCATGCAGCTAACAGGAAATTTAAAGGGAGATGGAAGACAGTCAAAACAGAGTATAAAAACAGAGCATATACTAAAACTAGCACACTGGGTTAGCAAGTAAATACAGAGTTTAAACATATAAGGATTAAAATTCCCTAACATGAACTTTAAGCTGTTGATTTTTAGAAATCTATCTTCATGTGAAACAACAACTCCAATTTAGAGTTAACAAATCATTCAGTTAAATAACTGAGGCAAATTGCAAGTTTATGAGGAACTCTGACACAGAAAGATAACCAGCTCTTGCTCTCCCAAGTCTGAAAGTTGTTTCCCAACCTATTTTTTTGCTTTCTTCATGTTACTGTTCATAATAGCAAGTTCTAAAACAGATATTGTAACTGCTTCTACTTTAATATATGCATGCAAGGTACAGAAGAAAGTAAAGGATTGACAGATGGACTTTAATCCTGACAAACTACTATGTACAAAGACAACGGGGCTTGCATTAATGATGTAGAAAAAGCAACTCTCTTGCTGATGAACAGAATTTTTACAGAACCAAAATTGCCTCCCTTAGCCTTCTCGTTGATTTATTAATTAGGCGGAAGACCAAAAGAGTGGAACAGACCCACACATTCAGAGCGGGTCCCACAGTGTCTTCTTGTGCCTGCTCAATCCTGCACGCAGTAAGTACACATACTCGCTGTCTGTGTGCACCAGCTAACACCTGGGCATGCCACAGTTAGGGGTCTGGGTTTAAGTTTTCTTCCCTACCTGCATAGGGTTTTATGCTGTACAACTGAACATGCATGAACTGCTCTGAAAAAAAAGAAAAAGTGTACAGCCAGCCTCAGGTCACTTTCTCAAAATATCATCATAAAACATAGAAGCTCTAGTCTGCAGCCAGACTGCATGTTCTGAACTGGTAGTCAGGATTTTGGGACAAGAAAAGCCAATTTTAAATCTAGCAACTTTTCCAAGTATTCTATGCATAAAGAGAGAAGCTGTTTGTTTGATTAAAAGCAGCTGTTGGCATTAATCTAAATTACTCACTCTGAATTCATACTCTATGAGGTTTCCAATATTATCTTCAGATTTCATAGCACTCTCACCAATGATGTTACCTCCAAAATATACCTGAGAAGGCTTAGCAACTCTGTTCAGGTGGGGGTGGGGAAGGAGAATAATCAGATTTTAATGAAGTCTGCAGCAAAAGTGTCATCCCCAGCCCCCCCCATTTGTTATGCTATCAGCACTTACCCAGTGAGTGATAAAAGCAATTCAAGAACCACTTTAGCACTAGCTGTAATTGGAGTCGAATTAACTTGAGTGCTTGTTCTACAATGAAAAGGAAACAATGCCGTTTATTTTACAAATTTCACAGTTTTTCACTTTACTATTAAATTGCTTTTGTAAATCAAACAAATTAATTCAAAACATTTACAACTGTATGTAAAAACATAGCGAGCACACACACAAAGAAAACTTACGTTTCCAACTTCAGATTAATGTCCAAGTCTGTTGTATCAACATTAACTTTAGTGGTACTTAAGATCAGATAAAAGGTTACCTAGACAAGAAAGAACATCCATGGAATATGTAAACATTTTATAAAATATATTAATATGTGCAGTATTACAGAAATACACCATCAAATTCTAGAGTTAAAAAAACAGATCCAAATCAAATTTCCAGTTATGACACAGAAACTTTGGACAACTGCAATCAGGAATCAGATTTTATGACTTGAGTAAAATGGGTGCAACTTACATTAGAATTTCTTTTGAAAGGATTTCCAAGTTCGCACTCTGCTTGAGAGCCATTTTGGTTAGCACCACATGTTAGCTGTTTTTCCTGATTAAACAGAATACATTTAAAAATAAATATATGCTGAAAATATTTTAAAATTGAGTATCTTTTCTCTTTAAAAATACTTACAGGATAACCCCTCATCTCCCTGAACGCAGAATATGTCAGACTGTCTGGAAAAGTTGCTATTAGTTTGGCTTCATATGCATCTTCACCATCTTTTTGGGGATTTTTTGCATCAGATGGATTGTTTGTCACCGTTATCTCCAGGGCAATATCTTTCTGATCTTTCAGAACAAGCACTGGCATGCCATTTTCACTACAGAAACGGAGTATACAGCGTTGGGTACATTAGGAAAACAAACATATATTAGAGTTTGCTTTTTACTGTGGCTTACCCAAATGTAACTCCCTCTGTTAGGGAAGAATTATTGTAAGACCATAAACACATGAATCGTCATAGGTTTGTTTTTTTTTTTCCCAGACCAGTATTTAGTCTCTCGAAGTGGGCAGCAGTTAACAGGATAGAACAGACTGATATACCCCTCAAGTAATCATGAGCTTATAGTATTTCTGAACCAGCACTTGCATCTGGCTCATGTTTAATAGTAATGAATTTTCTCTGAATAAATCTACTGACCTACTTTTTTCTTGTAAAGTATACATGGTTTTGTCATCCGAGTCAGGTTGTGGCACTCACTGCTAAAGGAGACGAACTGTTGACAGTAAGTAAACATACTTCCTTTTGTTTGTTTCACACCTCTTTTCTAATTTCACTGGCCCTCCAGGGAGGAGAGATGCAGCAGGGTGTTAGCTGTGTGTTATGGTGAAATCACTTCTTTGTAACTGCTTCTCTTAGGCTACTAGACTATAGTATATCATGTTATCATACTCACAATCAAACCTCATCTCAATAATAGTTAACAGTATTACACACAGTAAGCTACTGCAAGGCTGGTTTACAATCTCCTTTCTCCAGGGTTAGAAACTTTTTTTTCTAACCTTTAGCCCACACCTGCATGGTTGTGGCCACCTTGTATCCGTTTGTCTCCATACCCCTACTCTTCTTCTAAAGCTCATGCCCGCTCCCCCACCTTCCCCACCCTGACAGATCAGTACTATGTCATAGGGCTGCATTTGCCAGACTAACAGAATAAAGCTGCTCTATCTCCCAGAAGTTCTTTGAAGCACTTGTTAATAATTTGAATTTTAGCAATGCATTAATCAAGGCTTACAGTGGTAAATAAGTAAACCTGTCTTCATTTCCTTCTCTAGTGCAAAACCGGTACTGAAGTTTCAGATTGCTGTGACATTTATTGTCTTCTCCACATCCTTCTTTTAAGAACTCCACCTAAATAAAACCAAAGCACTTTTACTGCATGCCACATGATACTAGCTTAAAACAAGATTCTGATGTGCACTGCATAAAGCACCTACAGGGAACTCAGAGACACTTTCCTGGATAGAGTAAGATTTTTAACCTGACTCTTCTCACCTGTCAAGACAGTTTTTCTTTGTGAGACAGCCCTTGATGCTGATAATTTAGAACTTTAAATGTGACTAAAAGGCAGAGTTAGATAATTCTAAGTAAGAGGTACACTTCTAATGAGAAAAAGCATCTGTAAGTCTGATTCTTCAGTGAGCACTGAGGAAATGACATCTTTTACCCGAGATACTCCCTCTATGTCACTGCTGCAGAGCTCTAACGCTGCTGCAGCATCCTTATCATGGAAGAATTAGGATGTACATTATTTTGTGATGTGGGACAAGTGTTCACAGTGGGAGATGATGGATTTCCATTTTTAATCAAAAGTACATTTCCTGCTAAAATTGTTGGGGACAGAAAAAAAAAACTAGCAGCTATACTATCTTCCCTTTTGTTGCAAAAGAAACACAGGATCTAGTTCATAATGTTTTGTAACAAGTTCATAACAAAATGCAAAACAAAAGCCAGTAGTTACAAGTCCAGTGCCACCCCAGTTATTTCCTTTGGTTGTAATTTAGCTTTCTACAGCCTTTAAAAGTCAGTGATGTATCAAAGTACAGATTTATGGGAAAATGTGGTATCAAAGGCTTACTTTTGTGGTCTTTGTTTCAGATTCATTTGAATTTAGAATTGGTATAAGATCTGGAAGTGCTCTCTCTTTTCTTGTGGACGGTGAACTAGACTCCAGGCCAGCAATTTTAACACTGACTGATATTGGAATGGGGCGTAGCTTATCTTTAATTTTTTCCTGTTAAAATATATAAATGACATAATTAGTGCAGAGAAGAAAAAACAACACAATGATACACATTTAGCTTTTGATACACATATTAGAACAAGCAGTGAACCAAACTCTTCTGCTACATTTTGCCCTATTAAAACTATTCACTATATAGAAAACCAGCATTTTCTAAAAATGGGCAAGAACACAAGGAACCTAGCTGTACTGGTGGTTTTTTTTTTTTTTGCTTCCCAATCTGATGATTTCTCTCACTGTTAAGAATTCCTAGGAACAACAGATGGTAACTCAGGCAAGTGGAATTCACACTACAACAGTAAAATAACATACTTTCTCCCTATTGCTTAAGTTCACACTCTTTAATTTGCTGCGGTCAAAAGCAGCCTTGGAGGCTGGCTCATTACTGCTGAGCCACACATACAGAATTTGTTGAGCTCCTGGAGCAGTGCCACCTTTAAGGGCCAGTGTAGCAGCCGAGTCAAGAGAGCACATACCAAGCTTTCTAGGGGTTAAAATTCTTTTCCTAGCCAGTCACACCATTAAATTCTGTAACAATTACTTCTGTTGGAAACAGCTCTCCATTTTTGGCATTTATTCCATCTCTTATTCTAAATTAGTTCAGCTCTATTGACCTCCAGAGCATTCTGCAGTGGCTACAACTTTTATTCATACTTTGTAAGAAAGGCAACAGGAGGAAGCAGCATGTGTGCAGGGAGTAGTAAGGTACTACTTCACTATAGTTGTTTTCTAGTTTTGAAACTTTATATTGCATGTGCCTTTTAAATTCTACACAAAGGTACCATGAGGCTGAAAAAAGAGCACACTTTTGTTTTAAATGGATCTAAATGAAATAAAATACTCTGCCTTACCTGCAGTACAAGCTTGGTTGTCACACACTCTTTTGAGTTCTGTCCCCTTAGGGTTGTACTTGCAGTAAACTGATCAGACAGGTGGTCCTTAAACCGTACTCTAGACGGCAGGCCTAGCTGCCTCCTCTCATTTTCTGCTTCAAATGTATAGTTGATCTCTATATGAAGAAATAAAGTAGGTCACTATAAAAAAGAACCCTTGCCTTATTAAAAAGAACTTTTAATTTCTCCAGGTACGTGGAGAAGACTGTTTCAGCCAGTGCTGGGCTTCACAAACTGTTTTCAGTTATTTACAAAACTTTCTCCATCTGTCAGTTTTGTCCCTCTCCAGTTGAGGGCTGTGTACCCTGTGCGTTTATCTAAAGGAACCTTCTAAACCATATTCTTTTATTCCAAAAGTACCCCATTACTTCACCACCATGCAGAGCTGGCTGGAGGAGATGTAATTGCTGCTGTTGAGCCAGCAGAGGGCTGAGATACAAAAACTTTGTAAATACTCTTGACTCGCTGTCCTTGATTTCTGTTTTGTCCCAAATAGCACCTAAGCATCCAGCAGGGTTTTGAGGTCAAGGTACACTGTTGATTTTAACACTGAGGGCAAAAGTGTGACTAGAGCTTTCTAGTTGTATGCTGAGCCATGTTTTGATTAGAGCTGAACTCTGTGCATCTTCTAATCATCTCTGTATTCACAGAGCTAATGCAGTGTTGCAAGGATGGGAACAGCACTGAGCATGCCGGGCCTCAGAAGCACGCAGGTGGGCACACGTGAGCTGCCTCCGAGAGCTGGAAGCACTTGACCTGTTGAAGGACCAGGACCTTATTCAGGCACATCCTACAGCTTTTACTAGTTACTGAGAAACTCAAGACAACCCGGGGGAAAATGAGGTTTGGGCTTAAAATTCTTCTCATTTCCTCTCAAAATTCTACAGTTTTTCTGAGGTGTAGTAACAGCAGCATTGTAATGAGAGAAAACAGGAGACATGAGAAACTAATGCTTTACATTTTTAACTGTATTTATGGCACAGTCTTCTAGGTTCCTGTTAATATGAAGATTTTTTTTATTTCAGTTACCTATTTCCACAAAACCATTTTCACGAATGCAGAACAGTTTTATACAGTAAGTCTCCAATAAGAAATGATGCTTACTAGTGATATATGAAATGGGCTTTTAAAACTTTTCTAAAGCAGCGGTAACCTAGAGAGGCAAAATGTTTTTGGTCTGTATGGCAGCCATTTGCTCACTGGCAGTAGTATCACCCAGAAAGCTTCAGTTCAGTCTGTCATCCACAAAACTTCCTAATATACCAGCATGACTCTAAATACATGTTACTCTACATACAGATAGTGTGATAGCTGATTGACCTTAGTATTCAGTCACGTTTTAAATTTGATGGTCAGTCTGAGATGAGTCACTATAATTTGCATACTATTCTTCCATGATACACTCTAAAGAAAAAAAAGAAAAAAACAAACCATGTAACAAACAGATAAAAAATACTTCTCTTAAAAACTTACTTATTCTTGGATTTAAATCACTGGGGTTTGCAGTATATTGAAAACATGCTTTCACATCCATCCTGTAAAAAGTGGCAAGAAATTAGTATTAACTTCAGTAAGGCATGGTCCAGACTGAAAAGTTTTAATAGTCCGTTGACTGATATTATCAGTCTTAGACTGTGTTATTCATGCTAGAACAGTAATTTGCTGCTTACTAAACTGAATTACAAAGCAAGAAAAAATGGTTGATAAGCAATTAGAAAAAATATTTTCTGGCATTTGCTCTTACATCTCTACTCAGGAGAAAGCTGTACAAGTTAAGACACTTGCAAGTGTTAAAAGTCTTAAGTGGCAAAGTGACATTCATTTTCAAAAATGGACATTATGAACAGAACATATGCCACACTTTTAGTACAGTAGGCATAACAAATTCAGGAAGTCAAAATTATCATATATAGATACATTTGCTTAACCTGTGTGACTGTTATACCCCTTCACTTTAACATCATCACTGACAGAATGAATTCTGACAACAGAAAACTTAATACACCAAGGCTTCTGATAGAGTAATTTTTGGTTTTAATTACCATATTTCACTACGGTCCTCAGGGTTCTTTTTCTTTAGATCAATTCTGTCAGGCTGTACTGTAATGCTTCTTCTAATGCTTATCACAGGCCGAGATCTTCATTTGGGGGGAAAACGGGGAGTAAAAAGAAGGAAAAGTTTCTGTTAAGATTAATGAAATAATTCATGTGAATCCTAGGTGTCCTCCATGCCTGCACTGATTTGCAGCAAAGACACCCCAAGAAACACAGAGTTTGGCTTTGATAATGGTTAGAAACAAAAGAAGACTACTTAAAGCTAAGCAAAGCAAGTCACAAAAAACAACTGTATTAAATGCCTGACAGGGAAGCAGGGTACATTAACGTGATGTTGTGGTTGTCTTTTTATACACATAAAAACCAGAAAATTCAAAGGGATTTTTCCCACCCCAATGGCAATTCAGCCCCTGTGAACAACTGTAGGTACTGAAGTTCATTCAGGTTGATGTCCGCAACAGCTTTAATGTGGAGCCTGGGTGGCTGGGGGAAATTATGTTTTCATTTCCTGACTCCTCTGCATGTAGGCTGTAACCATAATTCAGTCTGACAACTTTTCCTCCTTTTTGGAAGGGACAAGAAAAGACAGTTCACATGAACAAATGAATGAGCTCATACTGCTCTCATCAAAGCATCTAAGGGTTGTTTAAAATGGCCAGTAAGCCACCTCCTCCTTTTCTAGCAAATTTCTTTTAACTGGGCCACCCATTGCACTCTTCATCACCATAAAGGTTTTCATTCTCACCTTTGTACAAGTTTTTGTACTGCCCATATCAGCAAATGATTAAAGCTCCTTTTGAGTAAGCAGAACACTTAATCTAGCCGACCTCCCTTCCACTTACTCTATTCTCTTCCACAAGCAATATGAGTTGCTTTTGTTGAGTGCTGTTTCAGTGTATTTAAGAACATTCCAATTATGTACACGAATCCTATACACCTTAGAGATGTGATCATCAAAAAATTGTAGGAAAGGTCGTTCTGCCTGAAAGGTAGAGTTGTTTTCATCCCCAAAATTGACACAACCAGTTTTAGAATTTCTGCTCCTCCTCCTTTGGGACCTGACAGCAACCACCGAAGACCTGAACCTGATGCAGCCTTCACAGCTCTGATGAGGAGACAGCCCTTTTCCTGCTCATTACTAGTGAATTCAACTTAACAGTACATTAAACTGGAAAAAAAGCAGAGGTCTGCAAAAGACCATGACCTCATCCCTAATTAAGGCATGTACTACAGAAATCCAGAAGGATCCCAGCTGCAGGGCTTCCTCACAGCTGTTTCATGGACCCCACTGGAACCTCAGCAAGGCTGTATGCCTCACTGTTTTTGGATCCTCAGCTCCAAAAGAAGGGTTTGGTTTGGTTTGGGTCTTTCTTCAATAAAGCAGGATTAGATTTATGTAACAGCAGCAAACAAAAGCTCTAGCAAATGTATCAGTTAACTTCTCTTTTCTTAAGGCAAAAGAATTACTTGTCACCCTTAATTCCATCGAAGGACACGGGCATCCAAGTTAGTTACCACAGGGCAAAGCCAGGGTAGTTACAGACACACTACACACATCAGCACTCCACAGTAACTGTCCACATTCACCCTCTTGCCCTGTATTCTCGGTCAGAAGAGGGGCATAAAGTAACAAACCAATTTATGGATTTTTTTTTCCCCCAGAATTTCCAACTTCTAGAAGGAAAAATATGCTCCAGGCCAAACAGCTTTTTGTTACTTCTAAGCAGTATGTTTTTAAAAAACTAAAAACCAAAACCTTGGTGTAATGCAGTTCTGTATATAATACCTGAAGACAGATACAGAATCCGAAAGGGAACCAACAGCAACATCAGGGTAGGCATTTTTATCCAGGTCCATGTTTCCAGCAATAGAGTAACCAAAGAAACTGGTGCCTGTTTTTTCACCATCAAGAATCTAAAGAGCAAACAGATTGAGGAAATTCAGACATTTAAAAGCTATAAAAGTGAAGTAAGTAACAAGTGAACATCATTGTCCTATAGCCAGGAGGGGGAAAAAAAAAAAAAAAAGACACACAAGGAAATAGGACCTCTGTGTTCAGGTAAATGACACTGCAGTGCCAAGATGATTTGCTTTTCTTCCAAGAAGCTACTTTGCAACAGCAGCAAGTACCAGAAATGATGGCTGTTTTGCATAGGAATGTTGCCTAGCTTGTGTGTCTTTACAGTATTTATGCAGTGTAGGCACTTGAAACTGAAAAAGTATTCTAGAAAGTATTCTAGCAGTATACTAGGAAGTGCCATCAAGTTCCATTCTCACCTTGCTAACTGAACACAGTGGTCCTCACAAAAAAAAGAAAGGCAGAAACATTTTTTTTTTTTAAAAGAAAGTGAAGTAGTAGTAGTGAAAGAGAAAATGAAGAAACCAATTATTTTCAAATCCCCAAATTTCTTTCAAAAAACCAAAACTTACACATCTACATGCCTTCTTCCTTCTCTACATATTACTGGTGCTAAAGGACTGCCCCAGAAAGAAAAATGTGTATTAAAATCAAGAATTCCTAATCTTTCTGGTCAGCAGTGCCATCTTTGAAGGGTCCTATGACTTTTCTGCATACCCACCACCCCATTAATAGAAAGGGAGAAGATGGATAGCCCCGTCGTTCCTTTCATTTTGTGCAAGACTAATTATATATAGTAAAGGTTATTTCATTACCTGTGCTGGTTTTGTATTTATTCCATTCTTGGATCCATGATAAATGTATACTTTGCCAAACCCATCGTACGGAGCCCCTACTGCAATATCTGTTGAAAATAAGTTGCAACATCTAAAGTCATTCTTACTCTTTCTGGAGCTTGCAATCATGATAAGGGTAAGATGTTCCAAGTCTGGCATTAGCAAAAAAGTCACACATATTTTTATTGTAATTGTTTGTCACTCACCGGGATATCCATCCTGATTAATGTCCCCAACATTTTCAACTGCCAGGCCAAACATGGAGTCAGTGGTTCCATTTAAGCGAATAGGTTTTACTCCTTCCCATTTGCCTTGCTGGTTAATGTAGATGTACACAGCACCACCAATATCTCCACTTCTGTCAAAATACTGGGGGGCTCCAACAACAATGTCTTGCCATCTTAGAATTAAAGAAAAAAAAAAGCAGTCCTTTTACAGAAGAACTGTGAAAAATAACTTATCTGACTGTGGTCTCAAGGTCAGCTAGCCAAAGAGCTCTAAACAAAGACTAAAAAATACATTAAACTGGCTGAGCAACAACAGCTCCACTGATACTACAAACCGATTATATTCCCTTTGTGACATACAAGGATCTTCTAGGGCCTTCTCTGGGTATGAGATTTGTTTCTTCTTTCTTTGTTTACACTGATTGTTTAAATTGAAATAAAACTCTTTTCTGTAATTAGAAATGTGAACTGTGACCTGACTGTTCCCTGAGATGCTCGCCATTTCCTCCAACAAAATACGGAAGATGGGATTTGGCATTCCTTGTATTTCTCATGTGAAAAACCAAAGCAGAGAGAAACCAGATTGCCATCCTTCATTACACAGGCAGCAGGAGTTAACCAAGGCCGTACCCGTCATTGTTGAGATCCACAACAGCAACATCATAGCCGAAAGAAGAGGCCAGCCCTTCTCCTTCAAACATGTGCTCGAGTGAAAGTGCTCTCTGATTTTTCTCTTTCTTCAGTAAAACAACTGCTCCGCTGTGGTTGGCTCTTGGGGCACCAGACACAAAAGTCATCTCATCTTGGGAGACAATTCCTTTACCAGAGTCCAAAGAGAAACCTTTAACAGAGAAAGAAAGAAAATATAAACAAATAAACACACAGCTTGTATTGTTAATCAGAAAAATAAATTCCCCTACTATATTAAAGTGGTATAATGAATAGAAGTTTTGCCTAAGACAGAGTATGGTATACTGGGAATTCCCCATTTCTATTTGGACTGGCGGATGCATCTTTACAAGTCTACACTCCTCCATACATTACATTTAAGTATTTCCCCCCACAAAATGTATTATTTCATTGCTCACTCAGATCTACTTTTCACGGACACCAAATACAAGATCATTTTTAAACACACCAGCTTAGAAATTATGAAACCTTACCACTTGAATATAGCTCCAGTATTTCTCCTCTGGCAAAATTATTTATAAAACTTTCCAAGTACAAGTCAGTTTCACTCTACTGCAAACATGCAAAATGTACCGCACAAGCACAGTATTTACACGAATGATGTATACGGTATTTGAGAATCGCGTTACACAGTAATGGTGAAATTGGCAATTTTGATTTAATGCAGCCCTGAAGGACATGTTCAAATGAATTTAGTCTTACGTATTCTTTATAAAAGCCAATATGTTTTAAAATATATGAAAAACTGAGTTGAAAGAATATACTGCATATACCAACATATCCAATGAAGGCCAAAGTAGAAAATTATGCACATGGCAAGGAAGAAAGGTACTAGCCAGCAGACAGCTATCTCCCTTCTGAAACACTTCACCACTACTATGAAAATTCTCAGTTACAGCAATTCACAATGAGACAGTTCCAGAAAAATTTGGGGAGTCCCATCTGGGGGAGGGATGAGAGGGTTTGGAGAAATGCATGACAAATCAGTGTTTCTCTGAAGCCATGTTATTTTGCAAGCTCCTCTTCATCTGAATCCCTGTTTTTACATGCTTTTACTTGCAGTGTATTTGAGATGAGGGCGTATGGAAGGGAGAGGACCATGTCAAAGGTCTGGAGATTATGTCTGACCAGATGCTGCCACCTCAAGTGGTCACAAACCTAAGTAGCTATTCATCATTACATCCACCGATTTGTCCACCTGTATGCTGGGAGGCAATGTTTTGTACACAAACTGATCTGGATGAGTATCAGATACAGCTGTCAAAAATAGAAGACCTGTAAACACGAGTGAAAGATTGAAGAGAAAAAAACAGTAGTTAAGCAAAGCAGCTATAACCATGTTTGTTTACTGTCTAAACAGAGGGAACACAGCAATGCCAGTGAAAAGCAGGCTTGCCTGGAAGTGGTTTTGATCATGACAAATCAAAGGCAGCACTTACATTTAGGAGATAAATGCATTTGTTACAAAACTGCAAAAAGTCAGTATTACTCTGTTCACAGCAAAAGACATGTCCACAAGCACTCCTCACCTTGCCAATTCTTATTTCACCAGAAGAGGTTATCAGCTTGTCTTTCTAACGTAAGCTCTTATGATTTCTTTTTTTTTTTTAACACCCAGTAATTATTGCTGATATTTAACAGAAGTTTATGTTCTATTTCTTCTAACAGATATGTACCTCCAAGCTGGCTCTTTTTTTGACTTGCTTTCACTTTTTGTATTAGCATTGCCCTTCCCAACTGTTCAACTTTCCACCACTCACACAGAAATGCCAGTCTCAAGTTACCAAAATTGTATTTGTTGCATCTGCCAAAAGCAGTGGATCAATACATGACAGAAATCTGCACTAGAACAGAAAGGTTCTTTACGCTTTACATGAGGCCTTCCCAAAAATGCAGCGTAGCCTTTTCTCTGCACCAACATACCTCACCGGTGTACAGTAACATCCAGTGGTGTAAGGACTTATTTCTGCTTTCATGCATGCACAAAGTGCAAGAGACTCACCTCCTGCAACACGCACGCACACACACACAGACATACACTTAAAATGCAATCACTACTCATATTCCAGTATTTTAAAGGCCTGTAAAAAGGCCACTGGAGTTTTAAAAACTTGAAGAATAAAAAAAAATTGCATTCACCTACTGGGAGAGAGAAACGGTTACATCCGGAAACTCAAATTTTGATAAACCTTCTGATACCACAGGGCAGAGAGCTTGTGACTAAGGACTACAGATCCATACCCTGTACTTAACCACTAGAGTGATTATAATCACTCCCCAAGAATCTGTAGGTCCTCATCACAGCTCTTAAATCTCTCACTAAATCAGCAGCTCTTCTAGGTACCTCCACAGAGTATCATCTCACACTTAAAACTGGCCCACAGACATGGAGGGAGATGTGAATTACCCATAACGGTTAACATGTTACAGGGTCCACAAATGAAGGATTTTCTGCTCCCATTTTGTATCATTGCACCAGGCTGGGATCACAAATGTTTAAGAAGCCTAAAGAGATTTACCATAGGTGCTTAATCCTACCTAAGTAACTGTTAGCTGGAACAGGAACTAGATTCTTATCTTGGCGGCTCTCATCACCAACTTCGTAAGGCCCATCATCAAAGATACCCAGATCATAAAATGTCTGATTCTTTTGCTCTGCACGAACCACCCCTGAAGAAATGAAATGATAAAATAAAAGCAAATGAATGGTAAGGGAGAAAAATAACAAATGGTTCTCAACTAATATTAATTACAAAAAATGAGATAGTGACTGCTGTTTAAATGGGACAAACACAGAACAGTACACTGGGTGAAAGTGTTTTCAAAAGGCAATGAATTTCTAAGTTCTATCCACGTGCCAGAATCTCACGCTGCTCTACAGAGAGGCCATGCAATGATCTGGAAAACATGGGATACTAAGAAAATTCTCAACAAAAACATGGGACCAACTTGGTCAGGAACTGCCCTCATCCCACCGTTCTTAACCTCATAAAGCCTCTCTTAAAACGGAGGTAAGTACACAGGAATACAAAAAAAAAATTTACTGTTCAGCTATGACAAACACCGGTGATATATTTAGAAAACATTATTTAAGGGGAAAAGAGCTATTGTTTGATAAAATGTGTGCTTCCCTTTTATCAACAGGCATATTTAACATTTTGGCAAGCACAAACATGTTTTTCCATGATACAAAAGAGTACTCTTATGACCGATACACTGTCATAGCACTTCTCTGCAATTAAAGTAAAACAGTGTCTGAACTAAATATGCTGTTTCAGCTTGGTCAGATTTTGTTGACAGATACGTGGAAGATTAAGTTTTCACTAAAGTACACCTTGTGCCAGAGCTTAACTCAAAAGATTTTGCATGGTTCATATAGCAGGCACAGGTGTACGAGGGGAAAAATGTAATGGCTGAGGGATCAGATGTTCTAAAGAGGGAAGTATTTACAGCTGTTGGTGTAATAAGTGTGATGGGAAAAATCACTTTAAGGAAAAAAAAAAAAAAAAGAGAGAGACAGAGCTGGCCACTTAGATACTTCTCAGTTTAAACTAACAGAGAAAATCTATGGGTTTTTTCCCTTAAGTTTTGGAATATCTCCTAAATGATACAGAGTACTTGGCTCTTACTCAGACAGATTATCCATGGAATTTTACATGGATATCCATGGATTTAGATATGAATACATCTAGTATTGGTCTGTTCAGTTATCTTCCTGCAATGCTCCAGTATTTAATTTGGGAAGTACTACCTTCCACAGACTTCACAAAGTGGAGAATACTGTAGGATAAACACATCTCAGTGCAGCTATCTAACAGTTGCTCAAACCCAGGAGAAAAGGTTCATCAAATAACTTTAAAATTATTTAGTAATTTGTTCCAGTATGGAAGTCTCAAAGCAAGCACTCAATCCCACCATAAGGTTAAGACTAATAAGGGAAAAAATTGCTGTACATATATGCAAAGTTCCATTATCCATTCATAAGCACTCTCTCAAAGATATTTAAAGGAGCTTCAGTAAATTTTTTTGATACAGGAGCATTAACATTTTGTGAGAACAGGGTAAAATCATTAGATCCCTGTTACCCGCCCCCCCCCCCCCAAAAAAAACAACAAACAAACAAAAAAAACCAAACAAAAAAAACCTTAGGATGCAACCCCTGTGAGCAATCTCAGAGGAAACAGGAAGGGTGGGTAGGAAGGAAGCCAGGTCATACCTTTCCAATTGTAAGTGCCTGGGGCACCAAACACAATATAGTGATAGTCTCTAGTAAAAGTAGCAGCAACACCTTGCTGACAGGAACCAAACTTCTCATGGCCTCTTAAACGACCATCACAGAAGCTCCATACTCCATTATCCATATCATCCTTAATAGTGAGATCCTGGCTCAGCACATAGCACCTTCCAATGATATCCCGGGTTTCCTGCACTGTGTTTACATACTGCCTTTTCTCATAGCGATGTGCGCATGTCTGCAAGATAGAAGAGATAATGAGTGATGCTTTCTGTATGCTTGTTTGCAAGTGACCAAAGGAGGCTGGTCTCCTGTAGCAATACTCCATGCTACCAATGCTGTAAGTCAGTCACCTTGTAGACACATCCGTGCTGCAATGCAGAGAGAGAGTCCACTGTTCCCTACGGGCAATATATGGGAAAAGTTGGGCATCTATGGATACAAGTTGGAACAACTAGCTTCATGGTCAAGGAAGGTCACATGGTTAAATCCCTCTTCTCTGTGGGATTTAGAGTTTTCAGCCCTAAAGCCTTCCCTGATACCTAATCCCTCTCTTCCAAGAAGTGAGGAGAGAACCACCCTCTCTCTCATAAAGAAAGAAGTGGCTGTGTTTCCCCACAGCTGTCAGAATTAAATGACTTACACGCTTGTGCAGGACACGAGAAGCTGGTTCAACTACCATCTACCTAAGACTACTCAGAACTCATCCCTTCCAGACAAATGCCACAAAGCAGAGGCTGAAAGCTTTTCCAGTGAAGGGGAGAGAAGTTCTTCCTACTTCCTATGTTGGATGTTCCACTTACAGGGTAACTGTCACTGGGATAGAGAGCAGCAGCACTGAGCACAACCTGTTCCTTAACCTTTTAGACCATTCACCTGGGAACAGAATTCTGATCAAATATTTAACACAAAGGATAAACAGCCACTGGGTTAAGTGGTGTAACCACCAAACCATTGTAAAAAGAGGTGGAACAATCAAACCCCTTTGCCAGCAGTGTTTTATGCAGAACCAGATGTAGTAGGTGTGTGAAGAGCACAAGCAAGCCAGGTTTCTCAGCTGACATACCTTTTCTATGCTTCCTATCAAGGCTTAAATATTAAGCAAACACCCAGCTGCTCCACACTTAAGAGCACTGCAGCACTGCCCTGCTGCACAGCAACCTTCAGGCTGCCAACACCGCATCTAATAAGTGCACTTCCCACTTATCACTTACAAAGAAAAGTTCCTTGTCAGAGAAGATGAGACAGCACTAGTTGATGATTAATTATTCAACGAGCAGGACTCTTTCCGTCTGCTCTTCCCCCCTTTGGGTTCTGAGGCAGACTGAAGCAAGTTATTACTGCCTCTATATCCATCAATAACTCCAGATTCACACCCTGAAGTCACCTGCCTCCAGTTTTGGAAGCAGTGGCATTAACCTGCAAGAGTATAATTAGATGGGGAAGCTTCACTGCACACCCATTTTATAATGTAGCTGGTATCCTGCAGCACCACCAGAGGTTTATTTAACTGAGAAAGAGCTAAAAAAAGTAACATTCTCTGGTAATTCCTGAAAGCTTTTTCTCTGTGTATTGTATAAAGAATATCTCTGTATTGTATAAAATGAAGAATAACTCTATATTGATAAAATAAAGGATAGCTAGTAGTCTTACTGCAGTGCAATGGCCACATTAATTCATAGGAGCAACTCAGCCAAAGTCCCAGATTAAAGTTAAAGCGAGGCTGATCATCTTGGAAAACAGGCTGATGATAGGCTGCTACTTTTACAACCTTATCACACTATTTTTCCCTATGTCTGTAGCCAATGGTATTTAAAAGAAACAATGTGTGTATCAAAAAAAAAAAAAGGGGACACCCTGAAAATGAACCATCCAGCCTACATTGTTACAAACGTTATAAAGAAAGGCTAACTCACAGTTAGAAAAATAATTCAAAGCTTTTACAATCTCAAGTATCTTACTTCGCTAGGAAGACATTTAAGTCCATCCTTACAAGAAATCACAGGAGTAAACATAGGAAAGTTACCTTTCAGAAAGCTGCACAGAAATGCAGACAATTCAGAATATTTACCATAGGCCCAAAACGTTTTTGTAAGTTAGTCCTTTAGACTTACCACCACGTTTCCTCCTGGCCCCTGACTTTGGACAGTTACACCCATCCATTGGTCTTCTTTACTCTCCATCTTCGGGTCCGCTGCAGAGTTATCATAATACAGCTTCAAATATTAACAGTTAACTCCTTTTTCTTTTTTTTTTTTTTTTTTTTTTTAAAGTCCCTGTCAGGGCAGGCACTCCATACAGTACATGAGACAGTCTGCAGGTGGCAGTGTCTGTACATTTTATCACTGACAACATCCATTTTATTAAATACTTCCAGTATATTACTTCATGTCACATCAATTTACGAAAAAATAAGAATATCCAAATCTACCAAGATTTAAGCATCTTATGCTATCTTTGCAATTAAGCTACAACTTATTCTGATGCAAAATAAGTTACATATAAATCCATAGGAGCAACCGTCTGATACACTGCCTCTGGAAAGGACCACATCAAATAAGAAATCAGACAACTGTTTCAATCCAAAATAAAACCGCTGAAGAACTTACTCTCCTCATCAAATACAACACGTGTGCAGCGTGTATTTGGAGATGCGATGTCACAGCTGTACAATCCACCTGTTCTGTTGGCTTGTTGGGATGGAAAGGCCTTTTCCCGAGGAGCTCCAACCAGCAATCTGCAGGGAAAGAGAAATAATTTCAAGGGATCTGTAGAGTGAATATTAGAAAAGAGGAAGGCAACTGAATCAGGAAGTGTTTTCACCATTCTGCTAGAGGTTTGACATGCAAACATTTGAAGATGGATGAAAAGCTACATCACAGCACTGTTCCTTAAAAAAAAAGGGGGGGGCATGGGAGTCGTGCGCTGTAAAGCAGTAATAGTCCTGCAATTATTGGACCTGTAAACCAGTAAGCGTATTGTTATTACTGCTATTATTGTTGCAAATTTCACTGAGAGTGGTTGATAAAAATAAAAAAAAGTAGGTGTCTAGCAGTTCTGCAAAAAACACCCTTCTATCAGGGAGTCAAGTGGAGCATTTTTTGCCTTCTTTTTGTTGGCAATTTTTTAATTGTTGGTAAGGGTGGGTAAAGTATTGTTACCAAAATGACCACAAATGCCCAAAACAGTGAATAAAAGTGCTTTCAGGCTGTCTTGTAGTTTTACTCTAGTCCTGTGCCACTGTTAGGCTGAATTTACAGGCACCTTAGTATCTCTTACCCACAAAGCAAACCAAGATCCCTCCTGGCCCAAGCAAGTGTTCACTGAATTATTCCAGGCACTGTGCAATGCACTCCTCCTCTCCACTCCTTTGGCTCAATACTCCATTTTGAAGCTGAAAATGTTCCTCTCCAACGAATCTCTCATCAAGACCAGGCCATTGCCACAAAGCCCTTATTTCTCCTGTAAAAAGGCCACTCTAACAAGCCTTCCTTAGACACTGTTCTAGTAACCAAATGTGAAGGTTCTTATTTTAAAAACTGAATAAAGCAATCTTTTTTCCTGTATCAACTGTCCCCCATGAGTATTATCATAAAATCACCAGTAGACATATTTACTTGCAAAATAAGGGGTTTCAGCCAAAAAAAATTCTTATACTGTCTATGTTTCTTTGAAGTGTCACACACACACAAAGCACAGCTGCCTCTTAAGCAGCTAACTGAAACTAGGAACCACCAGTATGCAATATTTGTGGAAGAAACAAGAAACGTCAAGCTCAGCTGAAAAACGAGGATGAGAGAACAGCATGTGGACAGGGGCAACGCAGCAGGTACAATGGATGGATGGATGCTGAACCAGACTCCATGTGTTTCCTGACCCTGGTACAACACATCTGAAAGAGATCCCTGACATTACAGTGTCAAGGAGGGCAAAACTGGAACTACTGTTGGACCCACGAGTCTCAAAGAGGAACTCAGACCCTCGTTAAGGCTTCAGCTATAGAGTTTTGCTTGAGAGAAAAGCTTTTCTGCATGCCTTATAGCCACAGTGGGACAAAGCACACTGCTGTCCCTCAGAATGCTTTTCTTACTAAAAACAAGACTCATTTTTATTCATATCAAACAGTTAAGACTGGATCAGTTAAGGTCAATACATAATTTTTGTTACTAAGAAAACATTTATTCAGTGTCACTAAAGTAATGAGACACAAAATGAAATTGATGTATTATGAGAAAACATATTTTTTTAAACCAGAAAATTACATCTGTGAAACAGCCATGTTTTCACCACTTTTCCAGAAATAAATTCTCCCACAACCCATAATTTGCCCTCATGAAGGTAACCCCCTGAATGGTGAAACCTTCAGGTAGAATACTTGCTTTTGACTGATAAGCATGTAAAATCAGGACACACAGTGCGGGTGGGGTTTGGTTTAAAGCGTTTCCTTCTTTTCCCCCTACATATGCGTAGCATCTTTTTCAAAGACTTTTTCAGAAACGTAGCAGTCATCACAAGAGTTTGTAATCTTTAGAAACAACCATGCTTTTAGAAAGGCCATTAATAACTTCATTTTCTAATTTTGGCAACAGTGCATTTAACTGCAATCTCTTAAGAGTAGTTCTTTTGCAAAGCATCTGTTTCTGAGCTATTCCTAAGGTGGGAGTAGATACATTTTCTCCTCAGTTCTGTTATTCCCCAGGGAAAGACAGATGAGACTTTCTTTTTTAACATTAACAACCATAAATATAGGAAAGTAGAGGCGCTGATTTCCCAACTTACAGAAATTTTTATTATTTCTACTTTTTCAGTCAAAGCTTGGGGAGTAAAAATGATGAATTTCACTTACAGAAATTTGATCAGAAACCTTTTGTTTCAACATTGTGAACACAACTAAGAGTTTCTGGAATCGAAATACTTAATTTGGTTTAATTTGCCCACCTGCATACTACTGACAGCAGCTGTGCTAGATCAAGAAAATTACAACCCTGTTCTTTTCTATGGGATAGCTAGACTATATCCTCTCCCTAGCTAAATGACACCTTTTACAACATCTTGATGACAATTCAGCCAGAGGGAAGACCTACTGAGGCATCAGGGAATAACCCATATAGCCAACAGAAGACAAAGTGGAAAGATGTGCCACCTGTCATAAGATGCCCCAAACATTCAATGGCATCTCAAACAAACACCTGTTGAGATCAACAGATGAAAAATGCTATTGTTCAGCCTTCTTAAAAAAAAAAAAAAAGGTGTCAATCCAACATGATCTCAAAGGAAACGGGCAACCTTCAATTCTTCTCAGCACCCATACCCCCATCCAAGTCTTGCATAAGTTATTTTCCCCTAATTTTGCATAAATTATTTTCCACTGTAAACAAAGTATTTCAAAACAGACTTATTTAAAACCCCCCAAACTTCAAAGAACTTTTGTCACGAATCCTGTCACTAGTCTTCAAGGCTCATCAAACACAAAAATCTTGAATCCTGTTAGGTAGATCACTGCAAGTCCTTAATCACACACAGTTCAAAAGTAGCACAGACTATGAGCAGGCACTTCCAAGGGATTAGATCAGTTCACATAGATACTGTGGTAAATCCTGAAATGTATTTTCAAGTAGCAGCCAAAGACCTATTAAAAAGTGGCATAACTCCTTTGTACTTCTTCACTACTTATCTACCCCAAAGACCACAACAGAGAAGACTAAACCTACGCTTCCAAGTTCTGCAAGACAGGTTACTAAAGATGATGAGGATTATAAACATTATGAGGATTATCAACATTATTAGGAACATTAAGTGAGAAAGTCGTATGCATCTAACCTTTGGCTGCATAAATCAAGCAAAACATAAGAATCCCTTGTCAAGCACATTGTGACTTGTGATCAACAGAGCTGCTGTTCACCCTGCCTACTGTTCAAGAGGTATGTTTGAAAAAAATCAGTATTCTATCACAGAAACCAAATTACTTCATTTAAAAATAAAAGTGTGAACAAAACTAAGGAAGCACGACATAGACCATGCACCAGTGTGAATTTCAGCATGACTGCAGCAGTCCAAATGAATCAGCTTGTACTCTGAGCTGTGATACGTGCTCAACAGAGTCCTTCCAGACTGAGGAACACATTCCAGTCATTACTGTATGGCTACTTCCTGAGCTGTGTTTTAATAGAAGAATTTTCATCAAGTTTGAACTCATTATGCCAAAAATGTTTTTTCTGCAGCTATGCATGTTCCATCTTAGCTTTCTCAGTGGCCAGCAAAATCCCTTTCTGCAAAAGGAAAGAGGTAAGGAGGGGTGAGGAGGTGCTCTCCTAGCTACCATTATATCTTTACATTGGCAGATGAAACGCTGAGATTAAAACCAAAGAACTTCATCTGCAAACGAAGACTGACAAAAGTTCTTCATTTCTCTCCACCCATGATCACAGTATGATTCATTTTATTCATCGGGACTTCCCCCTGCAGGTGTACAAGGGCATTAGTCCCTACTTTTAATTCAGGTCTGAATGCCCCATGTCAGGCTCCAGAATCCATATTTAGATGCCAAAATAACACCCCATTGTGAAGACGGTGTAGTCAGAGATGAAAACCCCAGAGACTCCAACACGCGGACATTTTACTGATTTTCTATCCCATGGCAGGTTTGCCTTATTACTATGCAGAGAACAGAAGCTCAGCCATACAGTATACTGAACATGAGCATATATGAACATCAGTTCCTGTTGGATCCTTAGCTTTTTATGGTTTATGATGACTTAGTATCTCATGCTTACCATATGAGCTAAAAGTCTGAAAAAAAAAAACACTACTATTCCTCACGTAAATTACAGAATCAGATGCTTTGTACTACTTGAATCCTGACCTTCCCCATTCATCTTGCTTAAGTATATACTATAAACTGATTAGGTTTTCCCTGAGCCAATCAGACCACACAGGTGTTAAATTAACTTCTATTCATAGTTCATTACGTTACATTTCTATAGATTAAAAGAAGTGCCTATCAAGTGACAATGTTGGAAAAAAAAAATTCAGAATTCTCTCATACGCTGGCACAAAACTACAATGCACTTTAGCTCCAGTTATACCCTGTAATTAAAACATGTGCCTCCCAATTGCAAACTAAAATTCTAATTTCAAACCAACTATATCAGTCCTGTTGTTCTATTGGTTAGAATTAGACTAATTATTGCCTTCTCTTAATTACTTCTTGGAGACATGTGATAATGACTAAAGTCCCACTGGCAATTATGAGCATCTGCTGGCTTCCAGGGACAGATTTGCTCCCTTGCAACCCTGGATTCAACGCCAAACTTGAGGTAATCCTATAGGATTAGAGCTCCAGGATTGCCATGTAATGCCAGTTTAACTAATTGACCTCGCTGAGGCGCAATTTTGGCTCAGGAGGATGGTGCCTGCATTGCACAGACACCAGCACCCCCAGCTGTACCTGCACGTGCGAGGTGCAGCCACAACATGCAACAGGGACAGGCCCGGCCCCCCCCCCCCACGAGAGGGACCAGCGCAGCACCACGTCCCTCACATAACCCTAGGGCACAGCTACACCCACCCCACCTCGCTGCAATATTACACTACACCTGCACCAAACAGCTGAGGCAAGAAAAACTCCATTTCATCAGTTATGCTGAGCACTACTCAAGCCTCAGAAAAGGCATCAAGCCATCTTACTGACTTGATCTAGATTTGGACCAGACCTTTGGATAATTGTATGTAGAAAAC